TGAGGTACATGTCTAGATCTCAAGAGAGGCCAAGCCAAAAGAAAATAATCTAGATGCAGAGTCAAAGTCTGGTTCAAAGGATGATGTGTTTTCGTTTGGAGAATTAGCTTTAATATCTGGAACCTGGCACTAAAGGGTACATAGTATTGAAAACTCCAGATCAAAGATTATAGGTGAGTTAGAACACAACTACACGTATCCCTAGACCACGCACAGAGCTCAGCTTCGAATGCTGACAGCTCTTTGTTTTGTTACGATGAATTTAGCGAAGTTGGACCGAAGGCTGTACACACGAGAGGGATGTTCAGCACCATGGACAGAGACCGTTGACAAGCCACCCTCCTCCCTCCTACGCAACAGACGTCCGGACAGCTTCGTCCCATCTTGAGCTGATTTTTCCCATTTGTCGTTGTGTTTAACCCATTAAGAAAATTTACCACGTCCTTGAAAAAGCCATGTCTGACAGCCGCGTCCAAGGTCAACGCATGAGCCTTCTCTCCCCGCCTGCGCCCCTTGATGTTCTTTCCAAACCATACACACAGCACTCTAATTTACAACCGTTAGGTTCGGGTTTACCAAGGCCTTCAGATAATGTATAAGGGTGCACGTACGTAAGTGACCTTCTTTCCAAACTGAGAGCTCCAAAATCGTAAATCTGCCCATCCAGACCTGGACTCATGTCGGACAGTTCGCCCACACGGCACAGTAGAAGCTTCTGCTAGTTTATTTATATGCTTCCATACGTAATGTCATCTGGCGTCTATAGGTGAATATTTATAGATAATTAGAGCTTCTAGAGCATCATCAGACTGCATATAATCTTAATTCTATTTACTGAAGTTTCTCGCAGGTTTAAAGAAGACAAAAAAAATCACCGAGTTCATGTACGTTTCAGGTTCTGTCATTCTGTGCCAATCAGCTACAAGTGATGTTTGCGATACTAGAGCTCGTGGTAATCTTGTATGTGTAAAATAGTCACGTGCGACCGGAGCCCCGTCACACAACACGTGAGTACACGTGCAGGAGTTACGGCGTTCCGATCACTTCCGTCGACCCAATGTCTGGCGATCATGCCTTGCTCTGCTGCCGTCTTACTTCTGACATTTCGAATGCTCTTCGCAGCCCAAACGTTTACTCATGCGGGCTTCTCACGTAAATATTGATGCGTCAAACTAAACACTCGCGCCCGCAGAGTCTGGTTCCCGCGGCCCCTCCTCACGCCTCGGCTTGGTGTTTTCCATACCACGGTACTTTCACTCACGTCTACAGGGAGGTGAAAGGATATCATCACGGCTTTGGCGTAGTAGGCTATTTTCGCCCGCATCCAAGTGGGATAAAGGCGAAACGACTCTGAAAACAAAAGTGTGCATTGAAGTCTAAGAACTAGGGACTTGTATCATGGTAGAGAAGTTTACAAGTTTACATGCTTACAAGTCTGCTGATAATAGATTTGTACGGTGATAGCTAAGACGCATACACTCATCGCTTGCTGTGAGCTTCATGTGGCTAGCCACCCCCACCCCCCCTTCACGCCCACGCCACGTGTCCTGCTGTGACTGTGGGTAGAATCACGATGGGCAGTTCATCGTACTCCGCACGAACGTCTCCATCACGTAATATAAATATTTCTGTCTTTTCTTCCGACCCTATTAACCGTTTATGTTCAGTACGTGTCGGCCTGATTGAATCACCGGAGGAGGCAAGACCTTACAGAACAGGGCAGGGCTAAACTTCCTGGCCCGGCCTTCCTTGACCATAATAAACCGACGAGAATGTGAGATGACTACAAGCCACAGGTGTCCATTCTGCTGGGGATGGGAAGGAAATGATATTGGTCCAGCCGATTCACAAGCCTTCCTAGTGTGTAACATATACCGCTACATTGGAGGTGACAGAATCAGGTGAATGTACATTTATAATAATTGGACAGGGCAGCGATGCCGCGGGCGGCGGACATTGAGGCTTCAGGGGCGTGGTAGTCTGGCACGAGAGCAGTCAGGTTAATCCGTCCTGTAATCCTGGGGACGAGAGGAGCCATGGAGGGTGAGGATGTTTAGTGAAACATCATGTTATCAAGATGCTGGAAAGATACCTCTTACTGGGTTATATACTAGTCCAGTTCGCTTGTCCAGTTCTGTTATTTACAAATGTTGGAGATAACTCAATGCGAAACGTCGCGTTTTCATTGGGCGAGAAGCACTATAGACAGTACAGATGAAGCCTCCTGTCATTGCAATCCACGAAAACGTTTATTCTGAGCTGCAGCGTTGTAAATAGAGTGAAAGACACGTGCATCAAGTTCGCCAGAAAAATCCAAGGCTTACTCTGCCTCAAGGCTTCAAAATAATGATATCTTGGAATCACCAATGCAGTGAATAAGTAAAGACACAGGTGACTCATCCCGATGACATTTCCCCCGTGACCAGGGAGACTCTCTCATCTAAGCGGCGAAAATTCCTCGCCTCAAGCGACCGTCCCTGCATCTCCTGCCAACTGACCCATCCCACAAACAACATGCCCAAACATTTCGCCACATCCACGTACGAGTATTTCCGCCCTACTTACGGGGTATCTGTGTCGACGCCCTCCGGCCTGGCAACAAGTGTCAATGACCCCGTGCCCCACAGTGGGATGAATTGAGCCTGCAGTACTCTGGATTACCGCAAGTTTTATTGGCAACGGTGGTTAGGTTCGAGAGTAAAGCGCGCTATTTATCACTTCCAGTTGATGAAAGATTCTGGACATCTAGTACCATTAGTGGACGTCTGAAACTGTTAGTTACAAATTCTTCGAATAGGAGCAAGACGTCGACGCAACGCTGTTCTTAGAAAAAGCTTCATCTGAAATCAGGACAACTTATACAGGTGGAAGGCTATATGGGCATAAACTACTAGTACCATGTCTAGGTATTAGGATATCGTAAGTGATACTAATATTTCTGACGCCAAAGTGCTGGCGGAAGTGGCATGTACTACAGATCGCGTCGACTATGATGAACATTGTGTTACTCAAGCAAACGTTAGTGGTGGAGATTGTTATCCTCTACTGATTGGTACCCACTCCCCAGTCTGCATCTACTGTTCAAACACTCCCAAATTAGCACCATCCTCCCTCTACAGGACTTTCTAAGGGCGGGAGCAAAGTGTAAATAAAGCAGCTTTTCACAGAGGGATGTTCACGATATTGCAGCACATTGCAGAACTCCTGGACGTTAGTGGAGCTGTTTACCATGTTCTGTGAACAACGTTTGAGAATACCTAACGCTGGGCAAAGGCGTCCATGGCCGTGCTTAGTACAGCTGGGCACGGATCGCTCAAAGGCAGGTTCACAAATGAACACTTGTGTGGAGCTCGGCACGGCCTTGTCGCCGGGATGACGTATGGACGCAGTGTCACCCCAGTCATCTCGTGTCTGTCATGTTTGTCTGGGTCGTCTGCAGGGGCACGGGATAAGACGGGCCGCTCAATCACACCACCACTGCCGGGACCCACACACTCGACCCCCTGTCCTTAAAATCCAAATTTAGCTCGCAGGTGCGGGGCTAGTCACGTGATGTCGGGAGGACGGTCACCTTGGCCCTTCTTGTGGGGACTGTAAGGCCTCAGAGGTTCCCAATGGTTTACATACATATTTGTAGGAGTAATCCTTTCCACTGCCACAGTAACTTTTATCCCTACTTTATGCCCTCACTTCATCTCCAATTTTAACGGAAGGTGGAAGTTCACCAACAGTGCAAAGGGATGATCATTGAAGTTGCGATACTCATCAAGTTCATTATGGTATTCTGTTGATCGAAAGATCTGTTCTTTTGAATCTTGAATAGAAATTTCCACTTTCAATGCGTTGCACCCTTCTGTCATACCCCTTTCAATGGAGACTTTTTCCGTGTTGTCTTTTAGCAGAAAGGGGGCTTTAGTGTACAATTTTTTGACAGGTCGAGAAACAATAACAGACAGTGCGTCATATCGCCCGATAAGTCATTGAGGTTGGTTGCGAAATGTCGTGGTCTTCCTCGAGCTTTGATTAAGGGCAAGTCAGTGGTCTCCCCGCAACCTCTCACTCGTCTGTTACAACAATCTTGCCTGTACCCCACTGCCCGTCTCCCCACGCGTTTATCGGTACTTGTAAGCCAGGCTCATGCCGAAAGGATGAGTGGCCGTGTATCTCCTGACCCTCCGCCACCGCGCTGGGCATCAGTATTGACGCGAGATGTTTAACACACCACATGGTGGCATTTGGGCACTGGGTACAGATCGCCAACGTTAGAAAATCAAAGGCAAAGATGAAACACCAGTGAGAGCTGTGGATCCGTAGAAAGTAAGACACTGAAAGTGTTATCTGTAGCAGCAGTATGTGAACTCACGAAAGCAAACTCTGTAAAAGGCACTCAGCCCACGGTGGCACTGGACAAACCTGGCTGAAATATTTGATGCTAAGCATAATTTCCTTTCCTTCACTCTTCTTATCATTCTCTCCTGCTTCAGGCGACTCATGTCGTCGTCAAACCTGTCACCACGGGTGTAGACAGTCTTGTTCGAGAAGTGAAATAATGTAAGAGCGAATACTAAAAGCATTAATTGGTATGATCGTGACAAAACATATGTACACCGACTTACGTTAGTTGATACCATTACCGAAATTAATGTTTTACCACTTGGACTGGAAACGACAATGATCCGGCTCATAACCACCCGTGTACACAGTTAGTACTGTACAAATAAGCTCAGTAGAAACCGAACATCATCAGGTAGAGATCTAGACCTTTGGCCGTTTCTTGAACTTTCTTCCTTTCCATCTTGTACGCTCAAGTCAATTAATGTGTCTTGAGTATGAAAACGCATAGCTGTAATCTCCGATGTGCCACTGATCATTCAAGTTACTTCAATATGTATTTCTAAATTTCAAGGAATCTCAAAGTATCCCATATAATCCAAAGGGCTTACAATGTGTACAATAACCTCAAAGATGCAATGATAAAAGAAAGATAACTTCTCACTTACAAAATGTGCAGATCCAGCGGTGCGGTGCGACGATGTTGCTCCCCGAATGGTGATGCCGGCCGGCTCGTCTGTGAGATCAGCTCGCGATGACTTCCTCCCTGCGGCCGCTCCGGTGAAAGCGGGTACTTGAGTCTGTTGAACAGGGACAATGTTGTTTCTGTATCAACCCCACGTATGTCAACAAGAGCGCAGTGTCGCGGCTAGACCTCTCTCTCACCGCTGGTGCAGAATAATACAACTTTCTCTTTCACTGCGTTTCACGACAAAGGTCCCAGGGAGTTGGACAAGTTGGTCTATTCGGCAATCTTTGAAGAGCTGTGAGTGAGCCGGGTGTTTGCGGTTCGATTAAGCCATCTCGGGCCGTTTTACTGGTCTAATCTGCCGCCAAAACTAACACACCTGGTCACACTGGGGAGGATGGCCGTCAAATATTGGCGTAAGGGCAGCTTTGTGCAATGATAATGTCAGCCTTGTTCTAGTGGTAGGGGTTCACTAGGAGGACATCAGGATCCTTGGTGTGGGGTGTCTTTTACCAAACAAGACTTTGGTAAAGAGGCAGGTGTTCATGCGTAAAATCAAATGTGTAAACCGAAATTTACGTGTATTACCTTCTAAAACCGTGCAGGTACTTCGTAATACGTTATCGTCATTCTTCAAATATCAGGGGCGACGACAGGAGCGCCCCCTGTCTGTGGACTGGGAACACCAGGCCATGCCCTCAGAAGACTCCCAGGTTTCACATTGCGTATGTTTGACCAAACCTGTAAGTATCTTTTCTGAGAGCGAAAGGCACGATGAATTACAATACATTTCCCACGTTAGATGCTATCCAACACCTCCGAATGCATCACAATTTTACCAAGTACCTGAGTGTACGGCTGGGGGGTTAGGGGAGATTGGGTGCCTACCAACGACACCTAGCGTTCCTGAAAGTAACTACATAATGTGAAATGAATGGGCTAACAATTAGTGGAACATTCACACCGCCACATCCACCCTCAGGTGATGGAGAGATAATAAGTGCGGAAAAAGGTCCCCATCCCTGTCCCGGTGCAAATGCTATTCCCGAGCCTTACAGAGAAGGGTGGGAGGAAAGAAAGGCCACCATAGAGGTTTCTACATCCATGATCACACCTTACTCTTACTACTCTTTCTACACCACCCCTTCCCATCTGTCACTTCCACCTCACGCATATTTCTCCCAACCCTAGCTTACCTCCTCCCCCCGATGACTGCGTATCTGTGCCGTCTACTCTCCCTCGTGTTCCTTTATAGAGGTTTTTCACATGCGCCATGTTGAATTACAGTGTACAATGTATGTCTGTTAAACATGACAACATGCTGCTACCCGCCAACACCTGGTCGCCGGGATTCATATGATAATTATTGTTACGCCCCCTCATTAGCATACGTACCTGTTACTCTAACTCCTCTGATTGGTCCTTTTACAAAATTGAGTTAATTTGCCACCTGTCAGTGGCGCTGTCAATAGCTTTACACGTGCCTAAAGTTCCTGGTTATACGATCTTCGGATGATGTCTTGTTCCTTCAAACGTATCTAACAAAGTAGTTCCCTCGCTGTTGGCCGCCAACAGCAGCCATTCAGGTTGTAAATATGAGGTGAACTTGGCAGACTTGTAGTCTGCAACCTTGGTCAATGTTTGTTAATTATCTGTCACGTTATGGGTTACATTTTCACATTTGTAACGTAAGTACTTGAATTCTAAACCTCCTTGAATTCACTTACATCTTCTGGGTATTGAAATTATATCCTTGCATCCATGTTAAACTTATGAGTATACTAACCACCAACTCACCAAATTAAGCTTACCTACCACCTACCAAACCTTCTTACTGCCATAAATATCCCAACCCAATTCAAGGCCACCTGCCAACTTAACTACTAGTACTTGAGTGAAGTACTGGTTAAATCAAGACAAGTAACGGCATCATTTGGTACAAAACTGTTTTAGGTTTAATGTGAATATAGCAGGAAAGGGATATAGCAAAATATACAAGAGCAAGAATTGGCATTTACATAGGCAGTTTAACCACAATGCCGAGCTATTCCTTACTGTGATACAATAACAGAAAAACCACCAGACCTTTTGTTTTTCATCTCCTGTCATACAAAATGGCTCAATGTTAGAGGGACAGTGCTGCTAATCAATACTAGGACTGACTCACAGTCTTCTGAATCTTAAAAATCATTTGGTGCTGTTTACATCTCACAAGGGAGAAACTGACAGTACATGAAATAAACATCATATTGAGCATCCATGTTCTTGGCTGGTTGTTCCATTTCTTCTATTTTACAGTGAAGTCTGCTTTGATGAAAAACAAGAGGCTTTTTCTGGACAGTGATCATAGCTTGGTGGACCAAGATTCAAGTTTACATTCCATGTACATGATATTGTATACTTGAGTAGTCAGACAACAGAACAACTATATTCATCAGCGTCATAGGCTATAGCTGAAGGGACTGACCATTGCTTCAGTGCTATACTATGCAATGTCACCCACAGCCTTGATAAAAGAAAAGATTTAACAGCTTTAAACCCAATTGCATTGCTCGGTTGGCTGGTGTGTCAGTTGAATAAGAATATTTGGTTAAGGAAAAGGTGTCATCATACTGTTACATGTATTTTCAAGTAGTTTCTATTTATGTTGAAGTTTTGGAGGGCCATATGTTCCCTTTACCATAAACCTAGATGTTATTTTGTCTCTTCTGCCATGCATAACAAATCTTGATGTCACTGCCAAACTCTAACCTCATTAATAGATTATTCAAGAAACTAAAATGAAGCTAAAAATAAAAAAGAAATTCTCTGGCCACTGACACGTTTAGCTGCCATCACAAAACCATTTCTAGAAGCTTTACATCATCAGTCCCACTTCTCAGTTAGGTCTGTTACTTACAACAGTGAAACAAAGGCATGTATGGCTACATCGTACATACATGAAGTTTCTCGTTTACATACATACATACTTGTATGCTGGCTCTCAAGGTAACTTTACTGTTTGACTCTGAATCCATGGTGTGGACAGTTCCCAAGATTGCCATTACCCAGCTAGTGGTGTTTATATGCAAGATTTTTACAGTACCAGTTATATGCAACTGTGCAACTGTTACAACAACTTTCGCCATATCAATCATACAAGACATATCAATGCAAATAATGAAATCTTATTGTTTAGCTTGATCCATATGATGCATACTTAGAGTCTACCTCACCTTATTCACAAAACCTTTGGGTACATATGTGCTGACTTCATTGTCGTTACCAAGATTGTTTTAATGTAAAGTGATAACACATAACACTGCCATCTTAGCAAGAAAAGATATATGGTTGAGTGCTTTGTCAATCAATGAACTCAACAGTGCAGTATTTTTAAATGTCAATCTTATATTACCCTCTCCACAAGTACACCACAGTGGCATCTCCAGTATAGTAATGCTTTTTGTGTTTGTCCTGTCACTGAATAAGTGTTGCCAATTGCCATGAATGGTTGGACTTTTGAGAGTTTGTATAGTGTATTACTGACAAACAAAAAATCTTCATCATAATTTGTGTTTACCTTTTTTTGGTGTCACACACACAAAGGTTTACCATTTCCATGATTCAACAATAGTGGAAATTAGCATCCCAATGGCTATCAGGTGCTGGCTTTTGTGTGACAATTTCAGTACTGAAAACATTACAACCCATTTTAACTACAGTTTTACATCATAATTATTGAAAGACTGCTTTGAGCAGGGTTACAAATACATTTG